GTCACATCAACGATTTGGCAAAGAGACAAAAGCAGAATCAGAGCATGTTTAGAGAAGGGAAAAGTCTGCAACTACAAACATATCCAGCAGGCTTTGCATGTGCAGCTGGGTTTTGCATATGGTTGTTTAAGGAATAGTTAATTTATATAAAAAAAAAAAAAAACCTTGTTCAAAACTTGAATGACTGACTTATTTTGAAAAAAGAAATAATAATAATTAAGAAATAAATATATATTAGTTTTCTAATTTTAGAGTTGTAATGTCAAATAAAAACAGATTAAGAAAATATATTATTATTATTATTATTATTATACAGTGAAATACATTAGAATTTTTTTCTTTTACTTCATCCAGTTCTCTTTTTGTTTTCTAAACATTTTACAAACAATTCAGCACATGAGTGAACTGTCTGAATGAACCAAACTGAATTGTAAACAATTCAGACCTTTTTGACTGAATAGTTGAAAAGAGTGATTCATTCATTAATCTGGCATCACTAGTTCTTATTCTAAATAGCTGATGGAAAACACACGAGATGATTGCTAAAATATTATCAGGGAAAATGGTTCTCAGGTTGGTATACTGTCTTCTCTATTATCTGTAATTATCTGTAATATTTTCCCACACAGCAGTATTTTGTGCCACAGTAAAAAGGGTCTACTGACGCCCCTGCGACTGAGGCTTTCAAGCTGCATAATGCAATATAAAAGAATCCTAAAGCTGACCTCTAGGATTCAAGCTTGTAATCTTTCATTCATTCCAAATGCATGAAAAAGAGCAACATTCTTCAAAATTTCTTTTATGTTCTAAGTCAGTCAGATTTGGAATGCCATGAGGACGAGTAAATGCTGACAGGATTTTCAATTTAAGGTGAACTATCCCTTTGATAAAAAAATTAAAAAACTGCTAAAAAAAATAGATGCACTTCTCTTAGGATGGTAAGAAGTTATCAGTTTAAGATTCAAATCAAAGAACCACTTGCCTTCCAAAAGTGCTTCTTACTCAAAAAGCACATGTTTGTTTTCTCATACAGTCAGTCACTGGAAATATTCTGCAGAAAGGCATTTTTATGCGCTTTCGAGGGACTTCAGTATAATGGAAACCTTGAGAGCCCTTTTCCCATGGGTGCTCTAAGTGGGTGTTCTATTTCCTGCGTGCCCTGTGCACAGTTCCGTGCAAGACCGAGGCGGCCGTACCTTTCCCTGGAGCTCGGACCAACGTCACAGGCTCCCCGGGGCTTCCGCGAGCAGGAGCGCTGCCAAAGATGGATTTCCGGCTTTTTCTGTCTTTTCCCCTTCCAGAGCCTGATGGGGAGAGGGTGGAGAGGCCTAGTTCCCACACACACAAACAAACACATATGTAAGGTCACGGCTGCAGGGTATATGCTCCTCCAGAACTCAAGAGCTTGATACTGTTTGTTTGTTCGAGACTCGCCTCTGGGACTATTACAGTTTCCAGTAGAGCCAAACACCTGAATCTAATTTACCCACCCCTTTTGACAAATTCAGCTAATTCTGCAGCAGTTTACATTAGCCTTGTAGCACAAATAAGCAAAAGACGAAGTAATGCTTAATGTAAATTTAAACTGCAGATTTAAACTGCTACTTAGAATGAAGCTTGATAGACTACATTTGTAAAGAAGTAGCTTCCCCAACACCATTTAGTCATCCATTAGGAGGTTGCATCTACTTTGCTAGTCAACACATTAGGTCTTTGTCAGTCAGTTGTGGACTGCGTGCACAAATCACTTTATATGCGAACCACACAAAAATCTTATGAAATGGCACCTAAATTAATTTTTCTCCAAAAATGAAAATTTATTTTATTTAAAAATTAATTAATGAATAAATTATATTCAATAATCAACACTCAAATAAAAACTGACTTGTATATGAATATGAGGTCATTTTTATATCGTTGCTAAAATATAAACATTTAAATTATGTTTGTAATAAAAGCTTGCTATGGACATTGAATTGCTTTGCATAATATATGTGTGTACTGTGTATATTTATTATGCATATATAAATAAACAAACAAATATGTATATATTTTACAAATATTTACATGTATATATATTTATATTCATATATAATTAATATTATATATAAATATATATTACGTAAACAAAAACTTTTATTTTGGATGCGATTAATCATGATTAATTGTTTGACAGCACTACTTTCCAGATGAATGTAATGTTATGAGACATTGTTTACAAGCTCTTTTATTGACATCTTTACGTTTATTAATGACATGATAGATTTCAGCAAGTTGAGTTGTTTCTTTCAACATGCTGCACCTTCTGATGTTCATGTATGTTTTCTGCAATAACTAAGAGTAGGTTATTGTGATTATTGGATGGGTAGCATGTTATAAATACTGTTAAGTGAAGTTTTGGTCATGCATCAACTGAAAACAGCATATTGTGTGCACTAAATAGACACTGATACAGTCAAAACGCACCATCATTTTGGCCAAAACTGAAATTATTTCAGCCAAACCTAAAAATTTATTTTTGCCCAAATATCTCAGGGTGTCTCAGAGGCGGACAGAACTTTAAGCTTTTCTCACTGTGCTCGTGTAATAATGAGATGAGATGTAAACCTGGGAATTTGATAGCCTGACAGTAGATGACCAGATCAGAGAGCTCTTGAGCGATCTGTCTGCTCTCCTTCTCATTCTGGGGCAGGTAGAACTCCTCTCCTAGTTCCATGTCAAACATCTGCAAGGACACAGAAGAACAACCATCACAGAAGTATTCAGGTAGAAAGGAACTCAAATGTTCATCGTTACAGTTCTGTACAGACCTTTCCTTTGCTTCCCGCTTTCTTGAACCGCTTGGGCATCTCATCATTGGACTCATACTGAAGTTTCTCAGTGGATGACTTGCCTTCGGGTTTGTCATCCAGAATATTGTCTGCAGAAAAGAAAAAGATTAAGAAACCTCTCTAGATAAACCCAAAGAGAAATTTCTTCAGCCAAAAAAAAAAAGAACAATTCCATCTAAATACAAAATGAACAAAAACTTTGCAAAGCAAATAAAGGTGAAGCAGTCATATTTAAAAGTCAGTCACACAGTTCTAAAACTACATGCGGTAAATGTAAATGATGACAGTTTGCATTTTGGGGTGAACTATCCCTTTAAAATCTGGAAGTAAATGGAATTTGTGGAAGTTTTTCTTCTCTATTGTGACGTATATCCAAGTAGTGCGGTACTTGATTTTGTCCATCGGGAATTGATTGGCTTGGTTGACAGGTTAGGGATTATTGTACCATCTTCAAGTTGGATGAGAAGAGATGTCATTGTGAGGGGTAGAGGATGTTAATATGTTTTATTAAATATTACGTGGGCACATGAATTGAAAAAAAAATGTGCATGGATAAAAAAATGGATAAATACTGCAATATGCCATAAATATTTAAATGAGAATTGTCAATTATGACTTCCTGGTAACTTTAAGTCTTTGATGTGAAACGCCCAGTCAGTTTTGTCAATCATGCCATGTTCTGACATCCTAACATCTAGAAACCCCATCTAGTGGGCCTTTATTTGATTGTGATCACAGTAGCATCCATTCTGTAGGTGTGCAACCCACAGACACTGTCAGGACGTCACTGGAGTCCAAGATTTATCACAAAGGGTATTAATTGGTCATCCGCTGAAGTCACACAAAGCAATCAAAGATTTGCATTTTACCTTATGACGAAACAAATCTCATATGATTTTTGAAATTTGTCTCCGATGGTAAAATCATGGCAAACGCATACCCGGCTTAAGAAAGCAGGTTGATTGAATGCCCAGCATTCCCCTGACTACACAAACTCATAGCTGAGTCTCTGGGGAAAGCCGTATGGGAAAGAACAAAGTCTCTTTTAACAGAGAGCAGCCCAGGGCCTGAGAAACCAGATGGCTTTGTTTTTCCCCCACTGATGAGCCAGTGCCGCAAGCAAGGTCGAGCCATTTTCAAAACACCAAGGACTGGAAGCGAACGTTGAAGCAAGTTTGGGTAGTTTTGTTTATACACTGTACCACCCACCTTTGTACTCAAAAACACTGATTTATTCATGGCAGAAGCAGACAGAGTCAACACACCAGCAGCATATAGCAGTAAGAGCGACACACGGCATCTCTGCACACATTTACATGGGCAGTTGACATGACATGTACATCTACTGTCCTCAGTGAAAAAGACCAATAATTTTCCACTTTCTTTTTCATAATTTGGCTGGACAAAAAAAGAATAAAAATTTTGTCCACAAACATACAATTATCTACCAAAATTGTACTTTTCCACCAAATTTGAGCAAATAAAATGCAGAAATTGTACTGTGGTGACCAATGCACTGGTATATATGCATTATCTAATTGGAGTCTCCCAATTTTCACAAATGACAGGTTTAATTATCTTACAAATTTGAGGGGAAAAAAGCCAAATACCAAATGCACGTTTTTAAGCCTAAAGTGTTAAACCATATTTTAAACCATGTCCATTTGTCAACTACCCACATACACTCACACACAATAAATTTACCTTCCTGGCCATAAGAGGCTGTGGAAGCATTGAGGACATCAGCTAAGAAAAAGGAGAAAAAAAAGAGGGAAGGGAATGAAAGAAAGGAGGGGGAGTGGAAAAAGGTCAGCATGCTACAGAGTGAAGGTGTCACTGTGAGAACAGTAAAAGACCCCGAGAGAGTTAGTGAACAGAACAAAAAATTCCACTATTCCAATAATTGCTGTCTATTCGAGTTGAAATAAAGGACACCCCGGCTTGAGTAATGCAAAGTATGCTTACCATCAGATAATGACTCATAATCATAGTCATACTCTTCTTCCTCCTCTTCTTCTTCGTCATTGTTTCCCAGGGATGTTCCACTGACTGTGCCGTTGTTGGCCTGGGTCTGCATGTGAGCCAGCTGATGCGCCTTTTGAAAAAGGAAAAGTTCACAAAAAAAGTTTTCAACTATTCATTCTTGATTCGTTAAATGGAAGCTTCATGGACTCAATCAAAGTTGTTGATACTAAAAATGTTTAACAGTTAGTCAAGACCACATTAAAGCTGTGCAGATTTCCACAGAATTGGAAAGTCTGTCATTCACACAATTCCACACATTCCCTACCCTTTGCATGTTTGTTTATTAAATATTTTGGTTAATTTGATTGTGCTTTCCAATATGAGTGTAGTACTTCCAGCTCAGTTAAGGACATTTTAAAATGTTTAAACGCATTCATGCAATCAGTGCTGATCAGTCAAGTCAATTTTATTTGTATAGTGCTTTTCACAGTATACAAAGCAGTTTCACAAAAGCTCATACTGTTGTTTATAATGCTTTAACAAATTTAGGGCTGGTTGATATGACGAGATATATATATATAACAATGGTATAAATTATCTCTAAATTTAGAATTAGCTATATTATATTTATTTTGTGTAGCAGATATATCAGTGTCTCAGGCACACAGGCCTTACCTTAGGTGTACGAAGATAAAAATTATGAAAAAAATCCCCAGATTACAACAGGACCTAGTCGAGACATTTAAACAAAAAAAAGAGGCAAAAACAAAAAAAAGAGCTAGCCAAATTTGCCTGATTATGTGGCTGCTACAATTCGATAAACTGTGCACAAACCAGTCTTGAAAATCAAGAACCGATTTCAATAGTCTTGAAATCTGTTTTGTATTGTCCCCATACCTCAAGGTATTTTTTCCTCTCATCTACCTTTTGTTTGAGAATGTCCACTGGAGCCTGGTGAGCTTTCAGCTTCTTATTTTTCAGTAGGATCTTCCCTCGGAGCTGCAAGGGAGACGGAAGCAAAGGCTCATCCGCAAAATCACTCCCAAACAGGAACTTGGTCACCAGCTTCTCACCAAACACCGTCTGAAGAGCAAAATAAACAATGTTTACTTTCCACAAGAAACGGCCAAACAAGAAGGTTGAACTGGGTTCCATTTAATTCATCTGATGGATTCAAAGTATTCTGATTTAGTGTAAAAATTCAAGTACCTTAAAAATCTCAGCCATTTTGCGTTGCTGTAGTAAAGAGCAGTGGTTTTCGATTGACAGAATCACAGGCATCTCTGAGTTCACAAACGCTGAACGATTGATGGCCTCGACAACATCCTACAGGCCACAAGAGCATTTACGTCAATGGAAAACATACATAAAATCAACAGAAGTCTCTTCATGTACTGATTTTCAACAGACCTTGAAGGGAATCTTAGTAGTAAGAGTGTGTCCATGGTAAATAACAGGCATGCCGTCATCCCCGTCCCAGCAGTCCAACTCAACGCTACGACAGCCCTGCAGCAACACCTGCAGCAGAACCAATAAATCGAACATGAACTCAATAAACACCTGCAGGCATCATTCACGTGCTATGGTTTCAGCTACATTCTCTTGCAGATGACTTCTACAGGATGGCATGTGAAGCAGCGATCATCAAGCATATTTATGGAGTGCACTGTGAAATGTGTTTTGCCCTGGATCAGGTTCAGGATAAAGAGAGAAGCTCTGCTGAAGATGTACCTGGCTGTAGAGCTCCACTGAAGACTCTCCTTTCAGCTGATGGCCCGTGAGGTACGTGTTATGAGACGACTCGATGTAATAGTACGAGAGCGGATACTGGAGCTCATCCAGATTCACTTGAGGCTCCTCGTTTTTAGAGGCAAAGTTGTCCTTGTCCATTAGAAACCTTCGAGAGGTAGATTAATTTTCGGTCATGTAGCAGAGATTATATGAATACTGCAGATTATCCAAATCTGCCAAAGTATTGTGTTTCCGAAACTGCTGGTCCACATTATTTTGTCAAAAAAGTTTAATAAAACCAAACCTGGCAAATCCTTCAAAGGACATCCACCCCATCTGACGCATGTTCGAAGAAGGCTCAAATTTCTAAAGAAACAAAAAACAAATTAAATATTATTACATTGGCATGCATATCATTAGATGTCTCAAAGTGATTTATGAGCTGGTGAGACATTAATATTGAACTGTCAGTCAACGACTCTTATTCTTAATAAAGGAAGAATCAATTGTGCATGTTGTTAACGGTAAATAATGACCCACCGTTGAGATCTTTAAAACCGTGCCAAACCCTTGACAGCACTCTGACAGAAATGTAAGCAATTTTCTTTTCTGACAATAAGACTTCACATAAATAACATGAGGAGGAATGTTGGTCAAGACAAAGTTTGAATGTTGGCTTGAAAATGTCTTTTCAAGGTTTAAAACAACTTCAACAAGGTTAGACAGACAAGACCGATAGATTAATGGGTGCCAAGTTTAGTGGATACATTTTTGAAAGGACAAAAAAATTATTTGTTTTTCCTGTAGTCTTCTGTAATATTTTTTCAAAGAGGTCATATGATGTTGCTAAAAAGAACATTATTTTGTGTATTTGGTGTAATGAAATGTGTTTATGCGGTTTAAGGTTCAAAAAACACATTTACCACATACTGTACATTATTGTTTCTCCTCTATGCCCCGCCTTTCTGAAACACGTCGATTTTTACAAAGCTCATCGGTCTGAAAAGCGAGGTGTGCTCTGATTGGCCAGCTATCCAGTGCGTTGTGATTGGCCGAATACCTCAAGCGTGTGATGGAAATGTTATGCACCTACCATACTGTGACGCCCTGTCCGGCCGGAGCGATGGGACAAAAATATTAAAACTCATTATAAACAAGGCATTTGTTGCAGTGATCCGGTGGGGACATAATTACGGATTATAATGACTTATACTGTTTTTTTACACGTTGCATCACGCCGCGTAAACATAAAACCATGTCTGCATTTGTGATCGAAGAAATGTCAAACAACAAGTGCTACTCTACATTGCTCAAATCTCGTGTTTGAATTGTTAGTGGCAAATTCTTTATATATAAAAAAACGTACTTACAGTCTGTGGAGTCAGAACAACCGGCATTTTAGTCTACTCTCCCAGGATCAGGAAATTTCGCTTTCACAACGAAACACAGCGTAACACACTGCGGCCTTGAGTGAATGGAGGCCGGTGGATTCGACGAAGTAGCGTCCGGCGGGCTTGCGGCAACCACATGTGACAACCCCGAGCTGGACTCTGCTTCGTCCACGGTGAAAGCCGATCCAGCGATCCACAGCGTGAAGTTGATGCATTTCCTCAGCGACCAGCACGGATCAGCTCTAGGCATGACGAAGCGAATATCGTCCCCTTTTGGAAGGCCAAACAAAGTAGTTTCGCTTTCGCAACGAAACACAGCGTCTCCACGACATGGTGGCGGCGGCAGCAACAATACTACAGCGAGAATCAAAGTTACGCCTTCTTTCTTTGCGTATACATTTGGGCGGCGTTATGCAAATCTTCCCACACAGTGATGTAGACATGTGGGGGCGTGTTAGAACGAGGCGTTTTAGGAGGGTGTGGATGAGTCTTAACTTTTATTAAGAATATCTCTTTTGGTTTGAGACTTTAGTCTTTGCAACTTTAGGGATCTTATCTATTCACGAACAACTTGTAACACTCCAAAGAGAAAGGAAAGCTTGAAATCGCATCATATGACCCCTTTCAAATTCTGCTGTAAATCAGCTATAAAAAGACAATAGTGGTATTATTATTCTGCTCAAGTCAGTTCTGTTCAGTTCAATAACGGTGTCAATGTTGCAAAATTCTTAATTTATGAAACAAATTAGGTTCAACCGTAAAGCAGCTTTACAGAAGCACAGTGTCATTATCCAAAGATGAGTCTGTAAATTACAACACAAGCATATTAATGTGCTTCATAACAGGAATAACCTTTGTCATATTCAAAGTAACCTTTATAGGTGTGATCAGTAAAGTCTATAAAACTTTCTGGCTGAGATCAGCTTTCAGAGAGTTCTTCCACACACCTGTATGATGCTGAGGATCTCATCATAGCTCAGATGTTCTCCCTGACAGTTGACCAGGAAGTCATTGAGTTGAGAGATGGTCAGTCCCAGCACACCCAGCGATGAGTTCTCCACTCCAGTGCCATTAGTTACGATGCTAGCAGCTGCGATGGCGTCTGAAATCTGCTTCTGGTTATCAGACATTTGCTGACATGTGCGGATAAAAAGGCCCAGGTCAGAGCCGTTGCGAGTCAGGAGATCTGTGGAGAGATTAGCTTTGTAAAACCATCCTACTTCTTATCATCTACACTGGTAAAAAAAAATATATATTTTTTTTTTTTTTTAATCGCTCTTATTATTCACACATGCCCACCAAGATCCGGTTGCAGTCCTGTTAGTTTGTCATCAATCCTCAGTGTGGTGTAGAGTGGGACAGAGTCAGGACCTGAGCGACTACAAGGCACAGCGTAGGTGTCGAACAGTTCCTTCAGATCCTTACGACTGCGAATGCTGGACACATAGCAGACGGATGGGAAACTTTCAACAGTCACCAAATTCAAAACACACACAGAGTATTTTTTTGGAGGGAAAGGTGTGTTCTACCTAAAAGACTTGAAGAGCTCTACAAATTCAACAAAGCTCATGATGCTGTCGGAGATCATGAGGTCCTGGAAGCCCCTAAAGCAGCCTTTCCCTCGACCATGCCAGCTTCGACTGCTCCAGGCCCTAAAAACACCAAACATAGTCAGCTCTGAAGCAAAACTGCTTTTACTACATGCTTCAAGACAAGAAATACAATTTATTCTTCACTATGCAAGAAGTCATCGAGATTTGTTTTTGCACCTCACACAAGCATGCTTGAGCTTAACCATTTACTATGTTTGATATGCATTGAATAAACACCTGAATCAAAGTCTGTTCATCATATACAGCAATTGAATTAAACAGCATAATTCATATGGATTACTTTTACAAATGTCTTTAGGTACTTTTTGAAGCATATGTTGACTGCATAGAGTTTCAATGAATGGAAAATGACGAGAGAATATTAAAGTGCCCCTATTATGCTATTTGGAATATTATCTTTATTGCAGTGTGTAATGTAGCTGTACGTGAATGTAAACAATCGGCAAAGTTGTAAAGCCGAAGGTGCACGATAAATAAAGTTATTATCTCCCAAAAGAAAGAACTGACTCTGAACAGCCTAAACGAGTCGTCAGTAATTCAAAATCCCACTTCTGTGACGGCTACATGTCACTGGGTAAGACATTTGCATAATGCCCGCCTATGTTCTACGTTGGCCAGCCACCAGCAACTTGACTCACCCCTAAAAAAACTGTAGCTTATTCATGTGGTTAATGTCATGTTAAGAAGACACTGTGAAAGTAAAAAAGATGAGGCTGCAATTAATCAGTACAACCCCAATCCTTTTTTGTGTTCCCGTCATTTTACTGACGACTACTTATCTAATCTCAGGGAGTTCATTGCGGAATTCACAAAACACTTGCTCTTGAAAGAAGGCTCAGTACCCACTTTATTTGGATCAGCTGCTTCCACTGAATCACAACCTGTAAGTAAGATTAATAATTAATGTTTATATTTTCTATTGAGCGTTGAAAATATGCAACTATGGCAATGGGCGTATAGTTTTTACGACGCACGCTGTACGCGGTAGATCAATCACAGCAGACTGGGTCATCTGACCAATCAGAGCAGAGTAGGCTCAGGGAAAGGAGGGGTTTAGAGAGACTGAAATTTTTTAACTGCTTTGAACTAATGAGAATCTTTGGAAAATAAGGTGATATTAAATGCATATTTTGACCTAGCATGCTTGTAAATCTATTGTAAAAGACTTCCAAAACAATATTAGGAACCTTAAAAATGCATAATAGGGGCACTTTAACAAAACAAAAACAAACAAAAAGCTTTTTGGGTTTGGAACAACACAATAATTATAAATTATGACAAATTTCATTTCAGAGCGAACTATCTCTTAAAATCCCTCAAGCACCTGGAGCCATCTTTCATGGAATAAAATTTAAAAAGTAAAAAAAACTTGAAAAATCTCACACGTTATCCTATTTTACTAAAAATGTGTCAGATTATGGAAGGAAAATACATTGTGAACGAGGTTTAATGTTGTTTTATTTGCATATTTCATGTTGCATCCTTCTTGTATACAAACATCTGAAAATATCTTTAAATAAACAGGATCAAAAACAGGCTAAACCCATAAAACACATTGGATAGAAGCCTGTGTGCTCTCTGGGAATGCACTGGATTTGTATTTCTAAAGAGGGAGTGGCCTTACCCTGGCTGACTTTTGGAGTTGCCGGGGAGAACAGGGGACGAATGGGGGCGTGTAGGGGTGGAGGTGTTTGTGTAAAAGGAGCCAGAGGAAGATGAGGAGGAGGATAAGGAGGATCCAGGAGACTGGCCTTTGCTGTTGGATAAGGAAAGGGGTCCAGGGTGGCCAAAGGTACTGCAGTCCTCTATGGAAACATTCAAACATGCCACAATGTCCCTGATCTCTTAGCATCACAAAACTAGTATCGTCAGTGTATAAATTAAAAAAGTATTGGTAAACCAGCTGAAATGGATACCATCCTCAACATTCTTCAACTGTCAACACAATGCTCAGTAACTCTCACCAGCGTTTTCCTGCTCAACACTTTCCAAAGGGTCTGACTCTCTCCTCCCCAAAGTCTCTTTACAGCTCCTGGTCTTGCGTGAGATCATCTCATCATCTGTTCCATCACCACTGTCTCCCTGAGAACAAAATAGTGCATTATTTAAATCATATAGCTAAGCCAGGACAGCCTTTGTTGGCTCAAGGTTTTTCACTCCTTACCCTGACTAAGGCTTTCTTCTTCTTCTTCTTGACGTTGGAGTTAATGCCCAGCGAGCTGTTTTTCTGGGCTGAGTTCTTCTCTGCACTCTTGCTGGCGGATCCAGGGCCACTAGCGCCCATATTCCAGCGTCTCCCACCAAACAGCTCGATAGCATGGGCCAGTGTGGGCCCCTCAAATCTACCGTCCTCCTGGAAAAGGTAGTTTTACAGCAATATAAAACCCACTGATAATAAAAATGGAAAATAATCAATGGAATTTAGAAAAAAGAAAGCTGTGCCTTAGCTGACCTAAAGTTAGCAGAGTTATGCTAAAGGGAAACAGTGCAGGGCATTACAAGAGTCAAAACGGGAATGTGTTTAGTGGTATGAAAACTTCAATACCACCAAAGTCCTCCAATGTGAACTTCTATAATTCAACACTGAGAACACAAAATGTGAGCAAAAATCTTTATTTAAATGCAGACTAAACTGGTTTGCCATGTCTACTGGTTGGCCAGTTGACCTGCCAGCTAACAAGTGCCCTAAACCCTTCTAAAACTATCAAACCAGACCAGCATGACAAATGGAAATCAGCTTGGTGGCTAGGCTACTGTAAGACCAGCAGACCTTTTTATAGAAGAGTGGTTGTTGTAATTGTTGCAATATTTACCATGTTTAAGGGATGAATGAGCTTAACATAAAAACAAGCAATTTGCTAGCTGTAATGTTTTACATCTAAATTCAAATATTTTACAAATATTATTAAAATCCTCACATCAAATACAACAAAATCTGGTATTGTAGGTCTACTTGTAGTGTTCTCACTTGTATTTGATAAATGCACTTGAATAAATGTAAAAGTACCTGGTACAAACTAACATACTGCTTTCGCAGCCATTGCAGTCTCTGATCAGGAAACTTCCTGATCTTCCTGATGGCATTGAGCAGCTCCTGGAGGCCCTCGTGCAGCATTTGTGCCGTGTGTTTGGGGGCCACAAAGTGCAGGAGCCTGTTGTCTGTGGTGTGAAGTCCATATAGCAGCGTGACACCATTTTCACCAGGGTTCATGTTACATAGTTTGTGCTGCAGGCACACATAGTTAACATCCACTCCAGGGTGACCCATAAACACGGCCTTCACCACGTTAAGGTCTAGGAGTCCATCGGTCAGTCCGCAGTGCACAGGTTGGCCCAGAGGTAAGTGGTCTGGGGATGGTGGATGTCCCATGAAGCCTCTGGCTTTTCCACCTGTGCCACAGCTACTGTGGGACTTGGACCAGGTAAGGAAGCAGTTATCGGGCTGTAGATGGAGGAGGCAGCGGGAGGTGAGATGGGTCTCGGGGTCGTAGTGGATAACAGTTGCTCCCTGGAGCAGGAACTGGTGGATATCCGGCTGAAGAGAGAGCACGTACCAGGGGATGAGCTCTGTACCGTGGCTAAAAAGTCCACGCACCTCTTCTGTGGCCTGGAGGTCTATGTCCTTAGTCAACTCAAGTGGGTCCCCTTCAGAGTCTGAGAGGTCTCCTACTAAAAACCTACAAAAATTGCATGAAGCAGGTGAAGCAGAAATAAAGAATCAAGTGACTGAATGGAGAAAAACTAACTAGGAAGTTTTTAGAATTGCGTGGTCCTTTTCTGTCTAAAATTTTAGAAAGAGTTGTGTCTGCTCAACTGTGCTCCTTCCTACAAAAAAATTATCTCTATGAAGAATTTATAGTCAGGTTTCAGGCCCCACCATAGCACAGAAACTGCACTTGTTAAAATTAGAAATGACTTGCTTCTTGCGTCAGACCAAGGCTGTATCTCATTGCTAGTTTTACTTGATCTTAGTGCTGCGTTCGACACTATAGATCATGACATACTCATAGATCGATTACAAAACTATACAGGTATCCAAGGGAAGGCTTTAAGATGGTTTAGATCCTACCTGTCAGACACTACCAATTTGTTCATTTAAATGGGGAGTCATCTCAATTATCACCAGTAAAATATGGAGTGCCACAAGGATCTGTCCTAGGTCCTCTGCTATTTTCAATATACATGTTGCCCCTTGGTAATAGTATTAGAAAATACGGGATTAGTTTCCACTGTTATGCTGATGATACTCAACTATATATTTCAACAAGACCAAATGAAACTTCTAAATTATCTAAGCTAACAGAGTGTATTAAAAATGTAAAAGATGTAAAAGATTGGATGACCAAAAATTCGGATAAGAAAGAGATATGACTTATTGGACCAAAAGACAGTACACAGAATCTCTTGGATTACAATTTGCAACTAGACGGATGCACGGTTACTTCCTCTACAGTCAAAAATCTGGATGTTATATTAGATAGCAACTTGTCTTTTGAAAATCATATTTACCATGTTACAAAAACAGCATTCTTCAATCTTAGAAACATGCCAACTTATGAAACATGATACCTGTTTCTGATGTAGAAAAGCTAGTTCATGCATTCATGACCTCTAGACTGGACTACTGTAATGCACTGCTAGCTGGTTGTCCTGCATCTTCAATAAACAAGCTACAGATAGTCCAAAATGCAGCGGCTAGAGTCCTTACCAGGTCAAGAAAATATGATCATATTACCCCAATTTTACAGTCTCTGCACTGGCTACCTATTAAGTTCCATATCAGCTGAATAAACAGAACTCTGCCTGGAAAACCTCTCACTGTCTTGGAAGAGGTAATGTCATATTAGTCTTGCAAAAGGAGTTGACAGGAGCTTAGATTATTGAAGAGCACTGTCTATCTATAAGACACAAATTTAGGGGCCGTTATGGAACATAATACAATGCTATGAGTTAAATTACTTTAAATCGTGCACTGTGGCATCTTGAACTTAAATGTGGTTGTGGTCTACATCTCATTTACTCTGTGTCTTGGTCTGGATATGAGTCTAAGTTTGTGGTCTCAGACAAAACTGCAGTCTGTTTCCAGAGAGTAATGAGGGTGATAATAACCTCAACCACAGGTTTGCACTCTATCTGCACCATTATAGAGGATCCCGTGGCTCTTAATGACTACTTAGCCTCAGTGTCTGAAATTAATGGTGGAATAAATTCTGCATTATCTCCATTTAATTAAAATGGACAGTCTGGTTCTTGGACCAGCGGTTTTTGCCTGGACTTTAGAGCATTGATCTGGGTTATAGGGGATTGGTATTGGTCTGGTCCTCGGAATTTTGGTACTGGTCTGGGTTTTGTGTATTCAATTAGGTCTTGGTCTTATGTTCTTAGTCTTATGCTGGTTATTGAGGGGTCTAGTCTTGGTTTGGTATTGGGGGTTTGGCACTGGTCGGTCTCATAAAGGATTGGGGGAATGGTCTGGGCTTTGGAGAATCTGGTCTTGACTTCAACTCTGCACTGTGGATTCAGAGGAAGGAAATCCATGCATTTCTAAGTGAAAACACACCAAACCCATACAACAGAAACACTGCATGTCACTTAGAAACCAATGCAGTTAGTGCAACCATTGAAGCACAATCTGGCAACTTACAGTACACGGTCTGACCCAGGTCCTTTTCTTGAGAGTGGACAGTAAGGGAGGGTTGAATTGAAGGAGGGTTGATTTGAATGGAAGAAAAAGACAGAAGGTAGTGTTTTGAGAAATGAAAGTAGGGTGGATCTGTACCCAAACACAGCATGCTCAACTTTGATACATTTGTGGTATAAAGTCAGCCCTGTAACTCGAAGAGGTACTGGGAGAGTATAAAGAAGTACATCAAAGCCAAGCTGCTCAAGATTCAGTCTCTTGAAAGATGAAAATGCTTGGGATGGAGTCTACAACAAAGGCAATGAGATTCTCCAGAGACACAGTATTAACAACCGATATGAGCACCTTCCTGCGGACAACAAAACTGCCTCAGCATTGAGGACAAACAGAACTACAAACTCACTGCTTTCTGCTCTGTACGTAGGTCAACATGCATAAACAAACTCATGAGAACAACATGTTCCACTGAGAAACATTGCAGTCAAATGGAAGGTCTTTGGAAATCTTTTCATAAATTGATAAGATGTTTAAAGGTTCAAAATAAACTCGGAGCACTCACATGCTACAGTAGTTCTTTCATTCTCTTTTAAATGATCTAAAGGTTGTCAAGAAAGGAAAAATAGTAGTAAAGTATGTACACTGAGTGAGTTGTTTATGATGAATAGAATTTCACAGCAACCCAGCCATAACCTTCATAAAAAACATATCAAGACTCATTTGAGTACCACATACTATAATGGAGAGACTTTTTGTCAGATATTATTTATTTAAGCTAAAGTGGGGGTTTAAAAAAAACAACAACTTGAAAATTAGTTATTTTTCTCTTTCCGATGCTTTTGGGTTTTGACCCCAATAACAGCCAAATAGAGTTGCTATGAAGTCATTATCCTGAGGTTTCATTTTACAGTTTAGGTGATTGACTCAAATAAAACTTTAAACTTAAACATGTCCATGTTCAACAATGGCAGACGTCAAATCAAATCACACACATCTAGTGGTTCCTCCACCAGTCAAGCAACTCCCATTGAGATTCATGCGAATGCTAGGTATTATAGATCTCCTTGCTTAACACAGGTAAGTGCAAAGAAATAACCCAAACCTCTATGCAGAGAGCCTATTAATTAGGGCTGGGTAAAAATATTGATATCTCAATATTAATCTATTCTCATTTTTACGGAACGATATCGATTCTTAAATCCCAAGAATCGATTAGTCTAGCCTGTTTTCAGTTAATGGACGGAACGTTGAAAGGGCATTTCCTATCCAATATATCGCAATAAGCATTGTGCTTTGGTACTTTTAATATGAAACAAAGTCTCAGATTTCAAATGCTGTCCATTGTATTGCAGTATTCAAACAATAAATGCCGTTTTGGTGCTGTTTAATGTGGAGTGACAGATCGCTTTAGCACCTCAGTTCAACAGAGTAGACGCAGCAGCGTGTGGTGCACATGAACTGATCATCTTCTCCACATTAATACCAGCTTCAGCACAAAATAAACATGAATAAAAATCCGAAGGCAAGTTAAAAGAAAGAGTATAACTTTACAAGCTGTATCCTGTCTCAAGTAATCGCTCAATCGGTGTTTCAGCCTCGCAAAGACGTTAATATAACGGCTTGTAAACAATGTCACATAACGTCACATTTACCTCAGAAAGCATATTCGGTGACCATAAACTCATTAGTCAGATAGAAAAATAAACTGTAGAGAGGGGCATTCTGCTAAATATATGCACCAAATAACATATTCATTATAAATTGTACTGTTCTTCAAGGTTTAATTTATGTTTGAATAAATCCATCAAGTTTTTATGACAGCCACCATTGTTTATATTTAAAAAAAAAAATGAACTGAAGTAATTTTAAGTGTAATTTTAACAAATCAGTCAATTTTAACCTTCAATATCAAAGTAATGTAACTTAGTACCAACTCATGTATATTTTACAGCATTAGTCGAGAGATTTTTTTTCCTTGAGAAAATTTGGCATGTAGCCTACTGTACCTGATATATATCCAAAATAATCGATATGGAATCGAATCAAATCGGTAGTCGAATCGAAAGCTTGTAAATGAGAATCGAATCGTGAAATTTGTGTCAAAACCCAGCCCTACTATTAATGGTTTTATAACAAACTGAAAATGCCTCAGTGTATATGGATTAGACTAAACACATCATATATCTGCAAACAGGGTCCAAAATTAACTCACTGGCTTCTGCTCTTGTCTTTGAAAGAATTTTTGGGGCAAACTGTGATCTCTTGTGCCTTCTCCTCAGGCTCCTCAGCCTCCAGGCTTCGGTTGCAGCTGCGAATCGTCTGCAGAATATTACTGACGGTCGCCTCTTTGTCTGAGCCGTGGAGCCCATCGCTCCCAACCCTCTGCAGGAAGTGCTGCTGGCCATTGTAGTCGGTGACAAACTGTGTAAGGTAAAGAGCACTTCACCACAGAGATTCCACACAAAAGAAAATAACCACAATTATGGACAATACGAGTGGATTTGTGGGCTTTAAAAGCGTTCATGGGTGATTTAATAGTCACCTAAGCGACAAAATGTATTTTCCTGGTTGAATCACTAATGTGGTTTTTGTAAAGCCAGGAAGCAATTCACCAGGCATGTTAAATGTTTGATGAAAAGGTAATTGCTCCAGCTATCCAAAATGGTCTCAAGATTATTATTTTAACTGTAAAAGGCAATTAAATTCAACCGTGGTGATACAATTTCCTGTGTTAGTCATCATGACTCTTTGGAAGCACCTAATCCTCACCTCAACAGGATCTTCTTCAGAATCAAACGATGGACGGAGTCCAATAATGCTGGCCGCACCATCCAAAGCCTCACTAAGTTCCTTAAGGAACACGCCACAGAAGGGCACCACTTTGCATCCTGGGATGTTGAGAGCACGGTTGACCACTTTCTTGTACTCAGATGATGATTCATGCTGGGCCATGGCGTCCTTCAGACCACGCATGGTCTCAATATCTGCCTGGTCCATGAACTGCCACATCTTCAGCACTTTGCGAGACCTGGGGAAGAGTAAGCAGTGAGCAAGGCTGCAGGGACGTAATTCTGGGCACCCTGTTTGTATATTGCCCAAGGGTTCTGAACATTTTTGTTTTCAAATGTAATTTAAAAGTTAATTCAGGGATGCAGTCTTGTAGATAGTGTACATGCTTTGACCTCAAAGATGATTATGTGTCACCACAGTTAGATTTTGGTTCAAGTCATATAATATTTTTGCATAATAGCCAGTAAACTGTTTTTTTGCTTTTCATGTTGGTACACAAGTGGGGGAAAAAGCTATCTGACTCCACTGCTAACTCCAAGAAGTTGTTACATTTTCTGACTGTAGTGAAAACGGCCTTGGAGGACTTTAGTATTAAATTTAATCTTCATGGTATAAAGCATAAAACCTTTGATAGACGACTAATCTTCAGCAAGAAAACAAAAAATCCCTTTGGAAGTGGGAAAAGACACCGAGCTGGATGAGAGTGAACTTTATAGAAAATTATAGATAACTAGTCCAATAAGAAAGTAACTTGGGTTGCAGATTAGCAGTAATACTAGCAGTGAGACTCATCCTTTGGCATGTTACAAATGTGCTGTTAAAAACAAATCAATGACACAAGAATGTTCCTCACTTTGTTAAGGATAATACAATACAAACAGAGAGGACCATTTATTCTCAAAGGATTATTTATTTTCTAACCAAGCAATTCAAGGCATCATGCCATACCTGAGACCTGCCAAGAATTCCATGACCGCATTGTAGTTGCCCATGTTCCAGGAGCACTTTGCCACATGGACGAGGTATGAGAAGACTTCTCTCTTCTCCTCCATGGACCCAGCAGTCAGGATAAGCCAGGTCACCCATGAGCTCACCTAAATACACAACACACACTTTAGTTTGAGGTCAAATCTTGAGAAAATACTGATCTCTGATACCTTCCTCCTTTATTCACTCTCTCACTTTATTGGTGTATATTCACATATATTTGGAAGAAACACTGCAGACTGTGTAACATAAATCTCTAGCTTTAAACTAAGGAGTTCAAACGTGATTTCATTTACATTTCGAAGAAAAATGAAGATTTGAGTGCACAAATGTAGATTTGAGCTCACTGGACCCCATAACACTAACGCAGATAACAAGACAGTGATCCATATAACTGCTGGGTTACTGTATATTCCAAGTTTTTTGAAGTCATACAATGGGTTTGTGTAAGACACATTCAAAATGTAACACATTACTCACAGTGGACAGGACACCTGGTTCAAAATGTGTGTTAAACTTTTGTGTAAACTTGGTATAACCTTTTGTAAAGGTTTGGAACAACATGAGGGCAAGTAAATGATGAACTTTTGCTTTAAAACAAGTAAACTAAGAAAGAAATCCCATCTCCAGTGTTATATTCTCATATGTCAGCTTAATATGCAGAGAATTAAGTTGTATGTGGGTTGTTTCACTTTGAAAAGTGTAATAATGTGTGGTGCTATCAAAGCATTGCTCTATTTGAACATCCTGATCAATTGCATCCTAGCAATTGCATTGCAACATGCTAAAACCACTCAGCAACTGCACTGCAATGTAGTGTCAACCACCCAGGACATCCCAGTAACCGCATAGTAGCATTCTAAAGATCTTTGGAAAACCTTAGCAATTGCATAGCAGCATGCTGAAGACAGTAAATGCATAGCAACAAACTGGCAGCCACCCGGCACATCCTATAAACCGCATACCACTCAAAACACCATACACTCTTATAAAAAAAAAAAAAAAAAAAAGGGCTTTATTAATAGAAAGGAATTTTCCATATTGCTTTTTTACAGGTGTTTTACATGTATTTTGAATTTTGCACTGCATTGCATTGCGTTTTAGAGTTAACGGAAATGTATGGATAATATCCTAACAGAAAATTACCAGAACATTTTCCTTTTTTTTTTTTATCGGTGTAGAAACTGCATAGCAACGCCCTGGCAACCACCCAGAACACCCCAGTCTCGTGGTGCCGAGTCTTTGTACGATCAATCACCACTCACATTTTCTTTAAACACCAAGTCACAGAATCTGACCATCTCTAGTCCTGAGCGCTTATAACAGCGATCAGTTTGAGCACAAATATTTATGCGATGGCGTGTTGTAGCTAAATACACCTCACAGAAAGTCAGTCAGTTACATAAACAGTTCTGCTGGGGCCCGGATGGTCAGGGACGTTTAATACGAGGGGACCGGAACACTGGAGCTCATGCCATTTTGCCAGGATTCCACCGGACAGACTGCTGCTCTTGAGTTACTGCACAGGCCGGCCAGCTAGCAGTGAACAGACAGCAGATTTGATGCATTAAAAACTTACATAAGAGTTGCCAAAAACTGCACTGCACCCTGGAAGGGGCTTCAAAGGCGGCCGCTGGTCAAGTGTCCGAATAAGACCACAAACAACTGACCGCAACAAAGACAACAGACCACAAACCCTAGGTTGTGCATGGACACCCAGTGGCAACACTTCAGGGATGTATTATGTGGGTTACAGCATAACCAAAATAACACATCACATTGCTGAAGCAGGAATGAGTCCACAGGAAGCATTAGGGTAAAAGAGCAAACCAAATCCACTAAAGGAGGAATCCGTGACTTGTTCGCAAAGGACACTAGGATTAACGGTGGGAGGGGTGAGGCACAGTCCTGTTATGTGATCCATTCACTTTATGCTCTTACAGTATTACATTGCATCGAGGCCTATGATCTGAACTCCCTTCGGCCAGGAAACCTTCAATGTTTCTTCTAAACAACTATGCAATGGAAAGTTAAGCAATAACTTTCAAGGAACTGCATTCAACAATTAAAGATGACTCCTTAGAGCATTACGCTACTTGACAAGATATAAGATTGATTTCAATATGAAAGCCATGTGAAGGTCACCTTCCTGAGTTGGGAGTCTTACATAATTAGCACTGACTGTCAAGGCTGTAAGCATCCGCAAATCTTTTTTTCAAGTTATTCCCAATCATAAGTTGTCTAGATACCTACTCTTACATGAAACATAACCAGCTTTGATGATTCAATATTTGAAGTTTTCATGTTTAAAGTCTCACATCTGTTTGAATAAGTAGGTACACATTGTGAATGTGAAAAGATCCAAGTAAAACAGACACTTGTGATGGCAACCAACAAACCAACCATGAGAAAAGTCCTTCGGTGTCCAACTCAATTTTTCTTCCAAAGCCAAAACCACTCTACCGCCCTTATGTTCCCTTTGGAACGAATCTGCACCATTAATGAATGCTCACCTCATTGAATCTTGTGACAAGGTCTTCTACTGTGTTGTGGTGGTCATTCTGAGTGGTCATGATGGGGGCGGACATGGAGGCTTTCAGGTGCGGGTGGCGTTTGTGGCACTCTGGGCTTCCCAGGTCTCGGGTGAGAAAGCTGAGGTAGTCAAGTGGGAAGACACGGCGGTACAGCTGCTGCTCCTGTTCTGTCAGGATGGTGGCGATTTCCTCAGGGAACTGGATGAGGTGCCGCAGATCGGCTAGTTCCTTACTGATGCCCGTCACAGCTGACGGGAGGATGCTAGAGTTGGCCATGGAGCTGCACAGCTGCCGTTCTGAGAAAGACAAAGACAGTGGAGTATACTGAATAACATATGTATGGACAGGTAGCCGTTAACTCCCTTCTCTAATTCTAATGTTCTTCTCTGACCACACTATATCCCAATTTTCTGCTATTTTCTTAACATGATGACAGACAACTGGATTTTGCTGCTTTGCAAACATGGCAGTTAAAATGGCATTCACCCAGTGGGATCTGCATGGTTTGCCATTCTAAAGACACACCCCACTCCATTCTAAAATCGCTATATCTTCCTCCTCATTTTATGGCATCATAGAAGCTGCCCGGCACAAAGCTTGTTCCAAACGGTGGGAGGAAAAATTATGCCATCTAAGAGGTATCTTATTACTAAGATTGTTGGCTATATTGTAAGGTAGCTTTACATGCATCCTTCAGAATGCATTGCAACAACCTCTGTGAAAAAAATAAATGGTGGTGGATGACAAGGGAGAAACACTGATAATCAACCAAATTTAATTTACAAAGAACTTTGAATCAAAAGTAGAGCACACAAATTTCCCTATGAAGATGGTAGTCACATATGAGGGTCCATTCCAGTTAGGATGCAGAAGGGAGTTGCCTATATAGTCAGCAGGTAGCGAGGCAACTCACTAGGTTTTGGAACAGAGCCATTATATAGGCCATTTATTACATGCCCCTAAAATGGTATTTACAAATTCAATAAACCATTTTCATATCAACATATGAATCCATCTTCTTTATTGCCTCACGACAGGGTTGGTGATAATTGTGCTCAGCACAGTGCAGTGCAAAGGACAAAGATAAACATAGACATAGATAAACCAATCGTAATACAATAAAGCACAGTATTTACATGGTAATTAAGAGAACCGGAGAGTACCACAAAAGACAAAACAAATGACTTTAATAATGTATACTGTGTGACTCATCAGCGCAGTCTAGTAAAAGTGAAAGACGCCATGCAGGACAGAGTTGTAAAAATTCCCAATAGCCCATATACTGTGACACCGATGGATCATTTCTTCAACATCACCGGGCACAGTATTTTTTCATTAAGTCTCGGCACATTTACATATCTCCACTGTTTCCTCCACTCTCGCCTAAGATTGTAATCAGAAAACGGTTATGCTGGTATGGCGCTCAAGGGCAGGTCAAGCAAAAATAATACAAATACTGTGAATCATGCTTGTCTGGATAGCATCAGCTGTCAAAAGCAGTGTTTGCAGACTCCTTCAGCTCAACGCGCCGCCATGGCGACCGCCGGAACAGGAGGAGCAGAGTGAGAGTGCTGTTTGATTTGTGTATCCAGTCTAGTCTTCTGATAGAACATGAGGGTGTGTTTCTTAGTACACACTAAGACTCTAAGTATCCTATCAAAACCTCAGTTTGAAACGCTCTACATTTTAATGTTAGCATGTTGCTAAGTTAATGACAATACTTCAATAAAAGGAAAATGCACAAATAATATATAAAATATTATGAATCAGGAATATACGTTTTCAAGACTGTATGCTGTATAGGTGAGCAGCTCAACAAATTCTTTGCAGTATAGCTCGGAAATGCAATTACATTTACAAGATTACAAGGAATCAAACTTAAAAAAAATATAAATATTGATAAGTTTTAATACACCTGAGCTGTGCTGTCTTTGTATTGCTTCAAACTAAACCAATGGCCTATCATACTTAGAGTTCTTCTGAGGTGAGTTTTAGGCACATCATCTCTTCAATATGCGGTCTCATAACCATTTGCATTTCATTAGCCATCACATGTGTTCTATTCTCTTTGCACATGGCATAGTTTTCAAGACTGTATGCTGTATAGGTGAGCAGCTCACTTACATATGAACAAATTCTTTGCAGTATAGCTCGGAAATGCAATTACATTTACAAGATTACAAGGAATCAAACTTAAAAAATATATAAATATTGATAAGTTTTAATACACCTGAGCTGTGCTGTCTTTGTATTGCTTCAAACTAAACCAATGGCCTATCATACTTAAGAGTTCTTCTGAGGTGAGTTTTAGGCACATCATCTCTTCAATATGCGGTCTCATAACCATTTGCATTTCATTAGCCATCACATGTGTTCTATTCTCTTTGCACATGGCATCTTTTGAAGCAAAATGGAAGGAAATGAATACACCGCATTAGGCTGTGAATGAGATGCCCTGATCTTTATGCATGGGCCACTCATGGTGCAGGTCTAAAGCAGACACAAAGCAGCGCTCGTTTTGTGAACGATGGCAGACAGCCTGCTTTTGGGACACGCAGAGCAGCTGAGGTGCACCTCCTACACATGTGCATATGCTAGAGGAGCACAACAAGTTGGAAAAATAATTGTGATTCCACTTACAACTGTTGCAATAAACAAATAGTGAATGTTTAGTGTATTAGTGTATGTTTATGTTCACACTCTGCAATATACAATTAACAGAGATGGCAGATATCTAAGGATTTATTTAGACATCATGCTGAAACAACATATCAGCCGGCCTAAAATCAGTCAAGAGCTTTAGGAGAAAAGAGCCTTTGTCTTGGACAGAAATAGTCCGGTTTATGCATGTTTGATTTACAACCAGTGAGTTTGACTTACACTACCATCCCTAGTATCCCATCTCCTATGGAGAATAAATCATTAATAGAAAGAGCTTCTGCAAAACAATTAACCTGTAACTGCCTAGGTGGATGAAAGAGCTATATAAACCATAAAAACATTACACTGACGGTCCTGAACATGTAGGGGAGACTGAGGGAAACTGTAACAAAATTTCTTTAATCACAAAAAAGTGATGTCACTCATTTAAATGCACAATAAATTTTCCTCTCTGGTGATTTAGTCTATTAATACTATATTGACATTATACTGTAAATGCTTCATGTACCAAACATTAGCAGATAGATTTGCAGTATTCAATGAGTTATGAAGGTAAATGCCCACAGACTCTTCTACAACCTTCAGAAAAAGTATTTGAAATGAAGATGCAAGAAAAAACTAGAAATAGACAGTCATTCAGAATAACCTTGAGCAGCATGTTTCATTTTGTGTAACAAAAGAGTGAAAGCCTACAGAACATTGCAACCAAGCAAAATAGAAATCTCTTTCAAAATCACTTGTGGATGTACCATTAAACTACATACATATTTGAATTAATCAATTGCTCAGTTTAGTATTAAGCTTTATTTATTATTTTACTTTAGGTGCAAGGCAGTTTAAAAGGACCCAATCTACGTAACCTAATGTATTAATGAAGAAAGGGCTGGATTGTGAGGAAAGCATGCAATAAAATAAAACATAAAATTAATTAAATTAAATCATATTCTTATTCTTCCATTTTCTGTTTACACAGACTTTTTTTCTTCAACTACTGTCTATATTATCACTGAATTTGTTCCATCCTTTAAAGGGACAATCACTAATTTCTGTTGTCATACCAAACCTGTCCGACTTTTTGACTACGGCTGCCAGCTCTCAACGCAAACAAATTATGCAACCTGAATCAAACATTAAGGCATATTCCCTGTTGATTATTGCACACCTGGCATAAAATATTACTAAAAATCAACACCACAACAGTGTTTCCAGGGTTGTTGACTAGTGTTAGACTAATGTTTTTCTTCGTCTCATACACCAAAAACCTCGAGCTGCCAAGTACAGTACATAACTAACTCTCTATACAGCAAAAAACAAACCACAACACTTTAGTCCTTGACACCAAGCACTGGCCACCAGAACAGCACTATTGATTCTATATTGAAAATAACCCCACAAGTGACAGCACTGCCTGCTGTTGTGTGTATGGTCAAATTGAAGCGTCACTTACTGAGCAGCCTGTCTGGCATAAAATATTACTAAAAATCAACACCACAACAGTGTTTCCAGGGTTGTTGACTAGTGTTAGACTAATGTTTTTCTTGTCTCATACACCAAAAACCTCGAGCTGCCAAGTACAGTACATAACTAACTCTCTATACAGCAAAAAACAAACCACAACACTTTAGTCCTTGACACCAAGCACTGGCCACCAGAACAGCACTATTGATTCTATATTGAAAATAACTCCACAAGTGACAGCACTGCCTGCTGTTGTGTGTATGGTCAAATTGAAGCGTCACTTACTGAGCAGCCTGTAGTCCATCCTCTGTGAGTGGGAGTGTTTCATGGTTGTGGCCGGAGCGGCAGTCGGCTCGCTGACTCCCTGCTTCACGCCGCAGCGGCGAGAGGCACTCAGCCACATTTAAACTCAGCCCGATTGCAGCTGCCAGCTCTCTACTACCACAAATCTGACTCGCTGCATATCTCACTCGTTCATACACACACACACACACACACTGTTTGGCCACTCGTACTCCCCTCCCTCTCTCTTGCTCTCACACACACACACACACACACACACACACACTTACTCTCTCCATTGGCTGCTGCTCCTTCCTGGCAGGTCATGTTACTCATAGATGAAAGCAACACATAGTGTTAAGTGCAGGGCGAGGAAATCGAGCACCCAAACATGCTCTGATCACCAGTAAAGAGCTCGCCGGTTGACTTGGGTAAGAGTCCAATGAGAACTTGATAGGCAAACAATGACTTTATAGCCTAAATTTGGGCATGAGACTTTGTGGATGTGCTTTAGCATGCTCGTTTCCATCATTAACTTTCCCAGTACATCCTAAGAGAGACTGATCGAAGAAAAGAGCTCATCCAACAGCTTTATGGTCCATATGCATCCAAGCTCCATTAAGCACAGAGAAAAGCTGTCCGGTAGATACAGGAATTGCATTTATAAAGCCATTAACAACTGGAATCAATTGTATCCCTTAAGACATGTCAAAGTCCTTGTTGCTGAATATAGAAAAGACCTCTAACAACTTCAATAACTGTTGTGAAACACAGTCATTCTGGCGCAGGGCTGGGCGATATGGCTAAATTTACGATATACAATATACATTATATCTCAGTATTTCTTTATTTAAAAAAACAACAACTTTCACATCCTGCCAAATGTTGTCCAACG